TATTCCTTGTATATACTGGGTATACCCCTAAACAATAGCTTAATTTGCAGCTCTGGGTGTGCAGATTTTTATCAGATATTCACTTGACCATAAAATTGTAAAGTGTAGAAGTTTCAAAAACTTGAGGGGTGGTTAATCAAGTCTGATTCAGGAGGGGGTATGATTTTATGCTCTCAATGTGAAGATCTCTCAAAGATCCTTTTGGCCTCCAAATTTGAAATGAATCGGCCAAATATTAAGCTTATTATGACATTTTGTGCCATATGGCACTATCGGGACTTAAAGGGTTAAAAATCATTTTCCCTGCACTAAATTCTTGTTTGTGTTTTTTCAGCCAATGCAATCAGATACGGACTCAGAGAATACAGTTGTAACAGATGATGAAGAAAGTGTGACAAATACTCCACAAGAGGAGAAATTCAACAAGGTTTGAGCTGTGTGAGGGATGAAAATATTACAACTAAGAACTTATAGTAACATATTGTTCATTTGCATTGGATTTGTCTTTGAGGTGCTGCTTTAACAACAAGTTAACAACTTTTTGGCTTCCATTGCATACACATTGCATCTGAATATACTGGCTAGCTAAATGTTGTAGAATGTAAAATTAGAGGAGTACCTAAAGTTTTAACCTTTTTGTAGTCTTATGCATTTTATGCATACAGACCACTAAGTCAGAGGCCGATCTTGAGTGTGTGTCAGTCACTTTGAGGATGACATGACACGTGACAGACCTCCGGGGCTATAAATATTCCGGCAGGTAGACTGGGTACTAGTAATTGCAAGTCATTGTTTTTGAGTTGTTTTGCCAGCCATTGCTTCTGGCGTGTCGTTAGAGTATCGTTGTCATACTGTGTAATTGCAGCCATTTTACCTGTTTTGTAAACATTTTGAGGAGCTTTCTGTCACAAATTACTTGTAATTGTTCAAGGTAAGTAATTTCTGTCGAGAAAAAGGTTGTTATTCATCGTGGTAGANCCAGTACAGAAACATTCGCCAAGCCATTCGTGAACTCAAACTTTATGAACCAGTTTCCAACGTCGATGCAGCTCCAGGAATAGCAAACACAGCAACCTTAAAGGAGTCACTAAACGAGCAGTGGGCCGTGGGCGACACTTAATAACATCGGTCTTGGCGAGCAGCTCAACTTCGCCAACACTCGAGTCTTTTGAGCCCGCGGTGGCATTAACCAAAAGTTCAGCACGTTTTAACACTATTTAATAAATAACATATTTTCCACCAAGAGCATCTACATGTGCGTGGATGGCCTTCAGGTACTGCGGAGCACCTACTAGTGTAAATTGTAACGTCAAGGTAGATGGATCAAATCTGCTGCCTGCAGGATATTTTTTGTTTTTCTTAATTTCCTTCCTTTTTTTTCCTTTCTGACACGCTAATAATTTCCTGCATACGGTATACATTCAAAAAATAGAAGCATTGATGCCATAAATGAAATATATGCTGCAACAGACAAAAGTATATTCAGAGATCCGGCAAACTTAATTCACGGATAAAAAACGTATAGTTTTAAACTCTTTTACAATTATCATTAGCTTCTTTTTCACCCACCACTATTCTTTGTAATAAAGGTCGCCATTTCATTTGTTTATTACTCGCCAAAAACTATCAAATGCACGCAAAAGCCTAAAATCGCAAAAAGTTTACAGGAATTGACCAATCGAGCGAGCAAGCGAGTGCCATTCTTCACATCATAGCTACAACTCGCTCTTGCGCATGCGCGCAATTCACGAGTTAAAAACAACGTTCCAACCAAATGGAATGAAACTAAACATGAGACCAGAAGTATGCATTGCGGACCTATTTTTTTATCCTCCTCTTAAGTACAGAATTTGGTACTTGTATTGTAATACATTACATAAGACTTGCTTGTTTTAAAAGGATCATGTGCAAGAGTTGTGGGGCCATTTTGAAGAGAATCTGAACTGAAAAACAGATTAAGCTCAGATTAACTGGTCCTTAAGTTTTGAGTCTATATTTCTGTAAGTGATTGTAATGTGAAGTGCTAACCAATTTTCAGTTTAAATCAGCTGATTGCCACCTTCTTTGCTTTATGGGAATTTAATAGTGCAGTAGGGACACCTCACACTGGACTTTTGTAATTATAGTCATTATATTTACAGCAAATATGCGGGATTTGCTTTACAAAGCCCAATTTTTTATTGCATGTCTTTGAATTTATCTGAACAGGTATCTTCCAAGGTTAGACAGAAGCACAGACCTGCCCAGACAATGTCTACAAAAGGCAGCTCAAGGAAGGACAAGACAATCAGTCATGTTGAGCAATCTGAGAACAATCTGACAACAGATGACATAAGTGAAGTGGCTAGCATGGAATACCTTGATCCTAACAGCACTGACAATGCCACTGAACATCCTAGAGGTACTCCATAATGCTCTATGTTGTCCTAAGTTTATTGACTAGAAAAACCCTCTGACTGACAAATATATAGCAGTGTTGCTTCTGAAGCTCCATTTCCTTCTCTGGATGGTAACTTTGAAATCCTCTCTTGCTTGGTACTCTGCCACAAAACCTCCTTTGAGATATTTCTTGGCAACCATACTCTTAACTCCCAAGATGTACCAGTGTCAACAATTAACAAAGGCCTGGAGTTGGGTTACAGTCTTCTTGTCTGTTTCTAAGTTTCGGAACCATAGAGGAGGACAGACTTAAAGCTGGAATTAAAGATCCTTAACTTTGCTCACAGAGAGATGAACTCTGATTTCAGTGTACATTTAGGTCATAAAATGGAGAAGGTAGCTTGTGTATTTCTTCCTTAGTTCCTCCTGTGGTGGTGATAAGGCTGCTGAGGTATGTAATGGGCTGTGACCTAGTCTAGAACCTCTCTTGTACAAAAAACAATGTTACCAATGTATCCTGGTGACCAAATTCTTACCTCCCCGGTTTTTCAAGCATTGTTTTACTTTGAGGCCAACCTTGGAAGACTTTTCTTGCAGTGCCTCAAACGTCTGTCCCATGTGGGTGGTCTTCTGGCTAAGCAAACAAAGTTTAATCTTCCAATTTCTGCAACAGGGTAAATTTTCAAAAGATGGCAGAAAGCTATTGTTTTGATTGCAACATTTCGAAACAAACAGTCATGGCATCCAGGGCTCGACACTAACCGTAGCCAACTAGCCACAGACTAGTAGAAATTTAGTTTTGGCTAGTAGGTTTTCGATTTCCACTAGCCACTTTGGCTAGTCAACAAAATTGAATTGGCTGAACTAGTTTCTTTCTTCTTCAAGGAAGACAAACACAAAATTTACACTTTTCTTGGAAACAATGTCAGAATTTCAATGTGGACATATCATGGTACTGGGCATGTGCTGTTCAGCACGTATGTCTACTTTTCCCTGTGTGGTACATAAACAGGGAACTGAACAGGTTAATTTTGTTGAAAGAAATATTTGAGAAACAAGACAGCACACATCAATGCTCTTTTTTGTTACGAAATTTTTTTCATGCGCAAAATAGTGCGGAACTACAAAAAGATAACATTTCATTTGACGTAGCAATATATCGGCGATATGTCATTGTATGCATACTTACAAACTTACCACTACAGAAATAATTGGATGAGAAAGAATTATTTCCTTCGACGTTTAAATCAGCTGTTTTTAGTCGTCGAATTTTGCCAACGACAGTTCACAGTATTGTTCAGATAGTTGTTTTTTCTTTTGAAACATTTCTACGGTGCCTGTCTGTGAAGAAGTCTCAACTGTTTTTACAGTGACTTCTTGGGGGTCTCGATATTTTTCCAAGGAAGTCTCAAAGAAAAACAGAGTCCTGAAAGTCTTTTCGGGAACTGGAACTTTTTTAAAACTAGTTTAAGTACAGTATAATTACCAACATTATGTATTAAAGAGAGTGACTTGTGTTGTGCTACTAATTCTGTTGTTATTGGACCCACCTGAAATTTTTGCGACTCGTTAACGTTGCGAATTTCGCAATTTAAAAAAAAATTGAGAAATTAAAGTGACACAGATAAGCGTCAGGAACATAACACATTATGTTACTGTAGACATACAGTCTGGCCATTGCATTTTTGTTACTTTTGGCCTTATTGTAGCTTTGATAAAGTCAGTTTACTAAATTCAAAGATCATGTTTAAGTAACATTGCAAAGGAAGCAAATCAATTTTTGTTTTACGCAAAAATGCAAAAAATACAAATTTTTGTGAAATCATGAATTTAAGTGTGGCAAAATATGTGCACCCCCAAATTGCGAAATAAATGTGTGGCAAAAATTTCATGTAATAAGGTAGCCAACCTCAATGCTTGGCTAGTAAAAAACTGGTTTTGGCTAGTAATATCTAAGTACTCACTAGCCACTTGGCTAGTAAGTTGAAAAGTTACATAGTGTCGAGCACTGGCATCATATGTTGTGGTTTTGAAGATGGCAAAATTTCCATACTTAAAACCTTAACACTCCTTTTAAAGAGTTGAAAATGGCAAGGAATAAACATCAAGATGACTTGACTGATGATGAGAAGGCTAATAATGACTTAGGAGCAATGATATCATCCTTTGGGTTCATGACACAGCCTTCCAGTCACAAGAAAGTCTGAAATCCAAGAAGGTCTCCCTGAATAGCGCAAAACCATACTACAGACCACTATAGACAAGTTTCCCAGATAGACAACAACACAAATTTGGATAGCACGAAGCTACTTTCAGAGAATTCTTACTAAATATAACCAACTCAAAAATTTTCATGCATGCCAACTTATGGCTTTCACCTATTTATTAATATTATCAGTCTTATTGCTGAAGTTACCTGAATCTTGATAACCTTATACACTTTCTGTTTGGAAAGAGTACAAACCAAGGTAACCCTATCCTAGGGACCATGCAGGGAGGGGGCTGGGGGAGCTTTAGCCCCCCCCCCCACTCCATTTTTTCACAGTATGTCCTGAAGAAGATGTGAAACGGTGTAATCTTCCAATCATTCTATGACGAGATATTACTATAACCTTACTGGCAGAGGCAATTTGCTAAGGTGATCGCATATTCCAAGGACAACAGATTTTAATATGATAGGGCTCCATTTTCAACTGTCTCCTGACTGGACAACATTTTCAAATGTTTGTAAGGGACCAAGGCTTTAGAACAAGCAACCCGCGAAACACAGAACTATCGCAAGTCAATATGCTCTAAATCTATTGACTACAGCGTTTTCTGCACAACATGGAAAAAAGGCTTTTAAATTTTCGATGAAGATATTATTTCAATACAATGGTAACCCAGAAAGGTAACGTAAGCTGCTGAGACAGTGAATGCTATAGTTTTTCCAACATCTGCTTGGTGGATTCCACGGTCGGCTGCATTGATGACAACCAAAAGCTGTGTAAAAATAGAAACATGCACAGACAACAGGACCAAAATTTATTTGTAAAAAGTGCCCAAATCTATCATTCTATGATTTTAAACAACAACCGTATAGATGACATTTTGTGTGGCCATACGTTCACAGTAGAAAACAGTCAATCTAATGAATTTATCACGGTTGTAAATGCAAAATCTAAAGTAAAGTAACACAAAATTTCTAACACAAAAGTGCTAAGGGTTTGAGGTTGACAAGTTATTAACAGACACCATAGTCACGAGCATCACAACGAACAATTTGAGATTTCATTGTTTTGTACCAGACATTTGATTGGGTGGATTTGAAAATGTTGGAATCTATTGTTTCAGTTCTGCCATCTGATTGGTTTTCATTGTCTGGGTGGCCCCAGTTTCAGTAATTACACTGTAAAGGTCAGATGATAATTTTTACACTTGTACAGTAAAAAAAATTGCTTCTTAAACTCTGGATGTTTGGAATTGTGTAATGCTTTGTTTGTTATTTTAAATCCATTTTCTGTCATTCCCATGATTTTCTGGGTCCCCCTCATTAGTTAGGCATTGGTGTTTTTAAAAGCCCCCGCTCAAAAAGGTACTGTGGTGGGCCCTGTATTCGTTTTACCAAGTTATCAGGCAGTTCAATAGAGTAGGTAGAAAAGGTGTTTGTGAACTGATGCCCTGATGACAATTCTGCCCAGATATGTATTGAACAGTTGAATTAGTGAACAGCCACAGCACGCTCTTAAGGTATCAGTATACTCCAAATGACCATCATTCGTTGGTGCCGCTTTACGGTCAGACATTTGACACAAACCCCAGTAAAGTAATATTTTCTGAAAGCTTAAGAATTGTAGATTACAAAGATATATTTATTAAAATAAGAAAAATTAAGGTTTTCCGAATATGACGACCTGTTTCCCAAAGTAGAGAGGTTCACTAATCAAGTTCATTTCCAATCGGATTTGAGCGGGAGGACGCAATCAACATCACTATGTCTTCTTGGCACCTTTTTCTAAACAGTGGTATCAGGAAATTTTGATTACTTGTCTGGTTTGTTTTTGGCATGCAGTTAAACTTTGAGAGTTGATAAAACATGCTTTCTCTTTACTTAAATAGTCATAACATTTGAAAGAAGCAAAAACTAAAAATTCCCCGACACTGATTTTTCTGATTATTGGGCAACATTCTCTCCAAATTTCAACGAAAAATGCTTAAAACTTGGTGCAAACGAACTCAAAAGGTGTGCTTCACTCGCTGAAATTTTTGTTTTGAGATACGAAGGAAAATATACTATGGGTTGTTCCTCTGATGTAATGAGATAATTACACAAAACATGTGAAACTAATGACGCATTGATTGATAAAGTGAAGGTTCCTTTTACTTTAACAATAGAGCTCATATCAATTACAAAGCGGGCTTGAATGTTGCTGGCGGGAAATATCCTTTGCAAGATCTGAATTCCACTGCTTGTGTGTCCAGGTTAGTAAGAAAATAATTTTCGCTTCCGTTTCTTCTTTTCGATTTTTAAAATGCCTTAGCTTAGAGATGCCATAGGCAACAAAAGAGCCCACGTGTAAACACCATAAAGGAAACTCACAAGATATCCGTTGAGTTGAGATGACCCTTTGTTGCTAGCCAGCTAACGCATCAGCCCAATTCTGATAGGATGTTTTTAAAACCTTTCTGCCCTGGTTTTTTCCTCTGTGGTGCCTTCTTCACACTTGCAAATGGACACAAACTTTTGTGTTTCTTCCTCAGCATATTTAAGCTCATATCAACAATCTACAAATGGGGAACACTCAGAACAGCTTGTCGACTACCAAACACAAACGTTTGACAATTGTATTACGTGGTAATCTGTCATGCTACTTTTTAAGGTACCTCTTGTGACAACCTGTTGACAGCTATCAGTTAGAGTTAATAAATGCAAAGAAACGCTTTTCGTTTATAACTTTGCGTAGAATCAATTTTTTTCATAGGAATTTTTTTAAATGAAAGATCACAATAACATCTATCTGAAAAAGTGAAAACAATTTTTTG